GGGGGGGGGGGGCTGAATAGCAAAATTGAAATATGGGTCAAATTGCAGCCGCGATCTATTTCACAGTTGGAATGATTTTAATTTTATTTTTTTTAGTTTATTTAGTGTTTTTCTTGGAAAGATGACAACAAAATCTACTAGTACTCTAATTTTCACTTTTTTTACGCATTCTTCTGAGCGTGAAAACTCACTGAATTTGGAGTAGTTTTTCAGTTGGCCCACACATGGGTGAGTGGCAAAAATGGAAAGTGTGCCGAATCGGTGTGACGATTATTTCACGGTCTAAATGATTTTTTGAAAATGTTATAATATATTACCTGGAAAGAAAACGTCCTCATCTATGGATTCTCAAAATTTCAGAATTTTCTGCACGTTCCTCCGAACACAGAAAATCGCCAAAGTGGCCTCTAGCAATATGCCTGTTTCGTTGCGCCTGACCTCCATGTTTTGAGAAGACGAGCCTCAACCCCTGGGCCTGAGGGCCCTTTTGCAGTTCACATGCCCTCACTTGTTTTTAAGACGAGCTTCAACCCCTGGGCCTGAGGGCCCTTTTGCAGTTCAGATGCCCTCACTTGTTTTGGGGGTCCGCGTCCACCCGAGAACCAGTCCAACGCCCCCCACTTCTTTTGGGGGTCCGCTCCTACCCGAGGACCGGTCCTTGTTCTACCAGAGCTAGCTGTAGGTAGTCCGCAATTTTGCCAAGGACCTGTCCTCCAATTTTTTTTGCCCCCTAAGAATCCACTTTGCGTCCTGATCGCCCGATACCGAAAATGTGACACCTTGACACAGACGCCGAAGCCCACTATACCGCAGCCTCAGGGCTGCGAATTATGAGGGGTAACTTGAGAAAAGTGTCATTTTGGTTTTGGTGCCCAAAAACAAACAGCGCCAACGCCGCCAAGCAGAAAAGTGAGGCCGAAAACTGAAATGGCGGAAATGTTTCAGTAGAAGTCCCAGAAAATCATAGAGCAACTGCCTCCAATAGAACAGCGGGGCAGAAAGGGCGTCGTAGTTGCTCTCTGTTGGTACAGTTTCAGTCCATTTCTTTGTGGGACTCGGGGTTCCTCCGCCCCCTGATTTTATCCTTCTTCTCCTCCTCATTTTCCCTCTTCCCTTCTTTCTTCCATCCTCTTCTTCTGCTGCTGTTACAGCTTTGGGCATGCTATTTCTGGATGAATCTGGCCAGATATTCAGTTCAACTGAATGTAACACATACGTGACCAGATTCGTTCGAAAATAGCACTCAGGAATAGGCAAGTTCCTAAAGTTGCCCCTGCTCTCTCTCTCTCTCTCTCTCTCTCTCTCTCTCTCTCTCTCTCTCTCTCTCTCTCTCTCTCTCTCTCTCTCTCTCTC